CCTAAGCATTGCTAAGGATCAACTTCCAACAGAAAAATACAACAGAGTCACACTGGAGGATCTAGGAAATTAATAGACAGGACATTTTTGTCAGATGCGGCCAAGTGAAACTGCAGGTACTGGTCTCGAAGAAACTGAGCCATACTCAATGTGTTAAAATGAAATTATGTGAAAATAAATCTAGTTTTTCAATCACTTTAGCCTGTATTACAGAAGGCATTGTTTAAAAATGCATTTCATTGTGTGGAGAAAGCAGCCACATCCTTCTTAAAACAGTGTCAGTCACATGCAATTTTTCTCAAAACAAAATCATGTTTTTCAAATTCAATTATGAAATTAAGCACAGAATTAAGCTCTTTTCAGGCTTAAAGGAACATGGCTGCTTCCGGTCATCCACCACTTACAGCAAACTAAAATGTACAGGGCCAAGATTGAGAAATTCAAAGTATACACTTAGTTCTGTTCCACACCGAAAATGTTCCAATTCACATAACCTGGGGCACCCATGATCACTGTTCCCCTCCCTTACAAAAAAAAATTCTCTTGAAAGGCTTGGGAGACTGCAAAACACACAATTGAACATATGTGGAAGGCTGCAATAGATAAGGGAAGAATGACCCAATTTATGAGAAAAGAAGCACTTTTTCACACAGCCTTCTATAGGTCTAATGCTATTAAATCAAATTCCAACTGTTACGCAGAAGCATGCTAGCCAATGCTATAGCCATACATTTGGAAGTAAAAAACTATTCCAGTTATATTTAAGGACAATTTAAGAAAAAATACATCTGTTACTACCCTGAATGAATGAAAATCATTCCTTTAAAATCACTATGAACTGCCTCTGTATGTAAATAATATAGCAAGAACATTGATCCAGATAGATTTTTTTCAATGTAACAGGTAAAAAAGGATGCAACAGAATTTTGCTTTTGTTACAGAGTAACTTATACTTTTCACCTTACTGAACATTTGCCAGTTGAGCCGTTTAAATGTATTCCGGAGGCTCCTTTCATTGTTTTCTTTCAAAATATGTACAAGTTGGTCCTAAAATTACTTTTCTCAACCAGATATTGTTTTTAAAAACTTCATTTCAGTTGATCAGAAGTATCAGAAGTCTCCAACAGCTTTTACGATTGCACAGTACACACCAAAAAGGAATTATTGGTGCCATGTTTTTTAGGCTTGTTCCTGGGGCTATTGGGGGTGCTGATTCAGAAAATTGCACTAGCTCTAGTTTTTTAGATATGGTTATCATAATTTTCTATGCATGAGCAGACGGCAACTGGTAGATGACATATGTTCTGTATTTTTAAAACTGCAAGCAAGCAGGTTTAATTTGTGTTTTTAAAAAGTCCAAAAACAAATGCATATATTTTGAACAATTAGAACTGGAGTGATTGCATAACATGAAAAAAATGGCGTAAGTGGAAGAAACCTTTAAAAAGAAATGTTCAACTAACACACCAAACAGTACTTGTACTATCCCATTAAGTTCCAAGTTTAAAATCTAAAGAATATTGCACAGAAATCTGAAGAGATCATTTTCCCTTGCAGCCACTCAAATTTGACATTGGATGAGCTGAAATTTTTGCAATCAACAGAAATAAGTGTAGCAAGGAAAAAAATGGGAGATATTCAATGAGAAATGTTATTGAGTTACACTGCATTACTGCTGCCGTGCTTCAGAAAAGACCCTGCTTTACTTACAGTTAACAAGTTAACAATCCCTTTCAGGTAGAAAAGCTTTGTTAATATAGATAGGTTTCCCTTGATTAATTAGTCAAAAATGACTAAGAATGTACATTGTTTAACTTTCTTTTACATGGGTTAAGATTCTAAAAGTCTAATTATTTTATAGTGTAAGATGGGCATTAAGTGATGCCCAACCAAGGTTAGATTTTTGTTCTGAAATACCAGATTTCACTTAGACATACGATTTATTATTTGTATCTGTAGCAAATTTAAGGTACTTGTACTATATTCAAAGCCCCTTCTGCCATAGAGACATCCAAATGATGAACTATGTTACTAATATGGTAGTTTATTCTGCTTATCTAAATGGTCATCAGAGTACACCAAATACTTCCCTATTGAGATTTCTATCCCACACTGTTGCAAAGACTTGGACCTGGTAACAAACTACTGTAAATAAAAAACAAGGTAATTTCATAACTAATCTGTTTTTACCTGTGGTAATTTCTAGGGCCTCACAGATATCCATTGCATCTTCCTCAGTTTTATGACATCTATTGTCAGATCCATCCAATCCAAGATGGAAGCCAATTTTAGCTCAGTTGACTCTCTCTACATACAGGATGCTCCAACACATTGGGGCATGCCAGAAATGATATTATCCTATATTTGCTCTCCATTTTGGCCAATTGTCAGCCTTTTCTCACATTTACAGGGTTTCTTGGACAGCAACCTAACCCATCAGTATGGGAAGCGGGTCTGTTCTTTGAGTGAAACTTTTCCCCAAAATACAAACAAAAACTACATGTGTGGGATTATTATTATTATTATTATTATTATTATTATTATATTTCTTGCCCGCCTCTCCTATGGCTTGAGGCAGGTTACAAAACAATTAAAATATACAAGCACAGCAAAATACTACAAATACGCACACTAAAATATACCTCCATAAAAGTTACACACCAAAACATATTCTACAAAATACATACTAAAACACACAAAACAGAGATCAAACAAAGTACACTTATAATTCATGTTTAAAGACTGTCTGGGTAGGTCTACAAGAAGAGATAGGTTTTTAGATGGTTGTGAAAGTCCGACAGCTCACATAGCTGTCAGAGTTCTTCTGGAAGGTTGTTCCACATTCGTGGGGCGGCCAATGAAAAGGTCCTCTGTGTGGTAGTTGCCAGTTGGGTTCTAGCCGGTTGGAGCAGACACCCCCCCCCCCCAGAAGACCGATATATGTGGAGTGGATTCTATGGGAGAAGGCGATCCTTTAGGTAGCCTGGATCCAAACCATGTAGGGCTTTAAAGGTCAAAACCAACACCTTGTACTTTGCCCAGAAACTAATTGACAGCCAGTGGAGTGGCTTTAGGATAGATGTGATATGCTCACTCTTAGAAGTTCCTGTAACCAATCTGGCTGTTGTATTTTGAACCAGCACTCCTGACCATCGCATCAACCTGGGCTGACATTTGGAGAAAGAGATCCAGGAGAACTCTCAAGTGGTGAGCAGTCTTTCAGGGGGAGCTCTTATAAGCTCTGGGACTGCAAAAATAGAGTTCTGGGTGACTTCCAACCTGCATTAGATGCAAATAATGATGAATTGGGAATCAGAATCCCAGGTGTCCTCGTTAGTCTAGTAATCTAGTGTTTATACCACTCTAACTCTCCACACCTACCAGTATTAAATTTGACTACTAACCTAGAGGAAGGTTTTTGCAAGTCTAGGGAAATAAAAAACTGCATCAGGTCTACTTTCTTAGATAGGGTTATCAGATTTTCAATGGGTGAGCAGATGGCAACAGGCAGATGGCATATGTTCTGCACCTCAAAAACTAGAGCTGGTAGGAGAAAACTTTTATCATTTTTGGAATCAGCAGGTCAAATACACCCAGACACAGGGCTAAAATATGAGGCACCAAAATGAGTGTTAGCAACAGCTATTCATTGCATATTTTTATTAGTATGCTCCTCTTCACTCACATTTTACTGTTTCCATTATTATTGGCGTTAAATTTGATCTTCCATTCCTAAGGAAAAAATGTTATCACTTGCCTTTAAGTTGGGTTACTCATGGCAAGCCTATCTTCAGGTTTTCTTGGAAAATTCATTGAGAAATAAATGGCTTCCCAATTTTTCCCCTAAGCCTGAGAGAATATGAGTTGTTCAAGGTTATCTAGTTGGTTTATCATGGCTAAGCAGGGAACTGAACTGTAGTCTCCTAGAAACGTAGTCCAACACCCACTAAGCCAAGCTGTTTCTCAATAAAAAATAACTTCCTCCAGGTAAAACTTACATATTTGTGCATGCTAAGAACTGAATCTAGGCCTTTTATGTGCAAAACATATGCTATGCCTCTCAACTACAGACACCACCACCCCCAACAAAATCTGGCTAATTAAAGAGAGAAGTCATATGTGATGATTATGGAGAAGACAGACTTTTCTTTTTGGCACCAAATGTCTATGAGATTTGTCAAACTACACCACTGCAAACAATACAGATTCATTTATTTTCTATGGACCTCTTTTTTAAAAAAAATCCTTGGGACTTAATAATAACATTATTATGTCACCTTACTCTTCCAAATCTTATGAGTAAAGGATTTCTTGTGAGAATTCCAGGCTTCTGCGAAATCTCAAAACACAAAGAAACCCTGGACCTCTAGAACGCTTGCAAAACCAGGCAAGCAATCTTCATTAGAGGATGAATCTAACTGCTTTCAAATCAGGTATACTGTTCACTTTGGGATTCAAAGTATAGGGACTGGCCATGCTCACGACCCACCTCTGAAAAACTGGTGTTTAATGTGTGATCTGTGTGTTCAAACTATACTTATAATTACAGGATTATCAGCATCCTGTGATGCTCATACAGGACAAGCTTTATTACCCTTAAGTAAAGAAGAACTCTTACAAAAAAGAGACAACCGGAAATCCTTCTTTTCAAAAAACCATTATTTGACCTCCAGTGTAGTTTTAATGTTAGACAGGCTAGATAAAATATGTTAACAGTTTTATCATCACATAGAAAATCATTTTACAGGTAAGAAATCAGTGGAAGATTTTGTTTTGTATCATGTACTGTGAGTAGACACAAACTCTTCAAATTGATTGAAAATACAGGAACTTCCACTTACAGTCTCACCTCCTTCTTACTGTGCACCGATAAGCTCACAAACATTCATAAAATGCATTCAAAGTCAAATTAAATGCCTTTAACAACTCTATTCTCCAGGAATATTATGAAGTATTTTATTTTTCAAAAGCTTGATCACAATAAAGTATTCTTGCCTTACCTTGTTCATTACGCCACCAGGCTGAGGTCCCCGCAAGCCTGCCTGTCCTCCCATTTGTGGAGAACTTTGCTGCAGTGTTTCAGCCAACAAGTTACCAGCATTACTCATTCCTGGGTTTGGATACGACATGTTGGACCGTCCTCTCCCAGCTCCAATTGAACCGTTCATAACTTGTCCCTGCATCATTCCTTGTCCATTTCCTGCAGTCAACATACCAGGATTCATGCCAGCATTTATTCCTGCATTCATTCCCATTCCAGGCTGAGTTACTGGACTGTTTACTGCTGGCATCATTCCTGCAGTGGATTGAGTTGATGGACCTTGATTTGGTCCACTTGCACCCATTCCCAAATTTGAAGATGTTAATGCAGCCTGTGCCATAGGGCTTTTGACCATACTGTTTAAGATTCCCATTCCAGGATTGTTCTGTTGAGGTTGGGTGGCCATGCCCTGGCCTGGACCCCCAACTCCCATATTAAGATTTTGTGAGCTACCAGCTCGTAGTAGTTCAGACAGCTGTTTGTGTTTAGAAGCAGCATCTTGTGCCATACCAAGGCTAGTTGGAAGCTGGTTAATGTCACCGCCATTGGTAAGTCCCAGTTCTGTGGAGTTAATCAGTTCATCTGGTAAATCATGTTCCAAATCAAAGAGGGATCCAAAATCTACATGGGAAGAGGCAAAAGAGGGAGTTTAGCAGATTGAACAGATTATTTCAGAAAAATAAAAGTAACTTTTCAATACAGACATATTATCATTTCACATTTAATTTGCTTTGTAAAATATTCATTTTTCCCCAGAAAATCAATTTTCCCTCTGTGAAAGAGACATGGCTGAGAAGCAATGAATGGGCCGCAGTGAGCTGAGTCTCCTGAGCTTCTCAGTCCACTACAACCCACATTATACATAATAATGTATTTGAGCATTTTTATCTCTATTTCTGTTGGGATTATTAATTACAGAAGGAGTCTTCAGTTAGAAAAAAAGTTGTTACCTTCCATTCATAAAGCATGTCAGAAATTCAAGGCCCCCAGCAAGACTTATAAATACAGACTAAGTCACACCAACATTAACTCCACACTGAAAGGAGACACAGAACAAGGGAACACTAATTTGTAAGGTCACATAGCAAGTTCACAATTGAAGTGAGATGAACAAATACTTCAGAAGTGACTCATATATTATACCACATGAAGTCTTCCCATTTGCAAGTAGTAATGTCTTGCCTGCCCAAAAACATGGCTGCCCAAGAACAAGAACAGTATCCCCTCCCTTTTAGAGTCCATGTCACTCCTGGGCTCTCCAAAAATCCGAGAATCCTCCAACTATACACCCGAATTTATTTTCTGGAGATAAATTACTTGTAAAAAGTCCAAACTGCTGCCTGAAGAAGAGATACACCTTGAACACACACACCTATCACCCTAAGCACCTTACCTTAAAAACAAAATGGCTGAAAACAGTCTGCAGAAAAAATAAAATTAAAACCAGAAAGTGGTTTTATAACATTGCTGTCTCTGCTGCCAAAACTGAGAGATCTTTCAAATCCTATGTTTAATGACCATAGACTCCCTAAAACACTTGACAATACTGTACAGCCCCAGTTGTATGGGAGACCACCCATGAATCCCAGGTGATATAGACTATATTTCAAAAGAAGGTGGCACCAAACCTCCTCCTCATAGCCTTAAAAGTCCTATAAAATCCATGGGGTCACCTTAACTCTGCAGGAAACTTTAAGAAACACACACACAAGCATGAACACAGAGTGAAGTGACATCCAAACGAACACACAAAAGTACAGCAACTGAAAATTTTGACAATACAAAAAACATCTCTGGTCTACAGCAAGCAAACAACTGTTCAGTATCCAACCTAAGGATACAATAACTCTTACAAATTTACTTTGTAAATTTGTAAAATGTAAGTTTGTCATCAAACTGAACCCTAAAGCATCTTATGCAAATCTTCTACCTTGCACATCTATATAATTTCTTAAGTTCAATCAATATTTTAAAAGTATGATACAGCACAATATTCATACCAGAATGTGCAATACTGGTATTTTACAGCTACTCCAAACAGAAAGTGTGCTTATATATACTTAATGCTAAGAAATTAGCATTCAGAACATTCATAATATGTTCTAAGTCCTTAGAATTTAAATGCTGCAGGTTTCAACTATCAGTATACAAATCTGCAAATGGGTTAATGTAGATATCCATTACAATTTGATCAAGTAGCACGTGAAATAAATGACAGCAATTACACTTCAAGCATTTCACCAACTCTTTGCTTGGTCTGGACTTGCAGGACTTTCAGTTTGATAACTGGCAGGATCCAGACATTTCTAGCCAAAAAGAACACTAAAAACAGCTACAGACGCATTTGTTCAAACCAAACTGAACATGCAAAAACTTGCTCTATTTAATTTTACTTGGATATGACCTAAGTTATATATCCGTATCCCATAATAATATCCACTAATCTTTGAAAGACCAAGACATTCCTAGGTTTTACTGGTTTGTATCTTCGGCAATATATATTCCAATCCCCAAGAAGAGGGACACACCAAGGATTGAAGTAACAGACTACTGCCTTAATTTCCCAAACAAGGCAACTTTTGTTTAAAGTTCTACAAGGACATTTAGGATATGTGGACTAAGAAACGCCAGAAGAACAAGATGAGACACTAGGATTCATATTGAGAAAACATAATGGCTAATGGAGTACACAAAAGAATTTCAGAAGGAAATTAGCCTGCACTTGATACATGATAGCAAAGCCTTTGATTGTGTAGAGATCATGAAAAACTATGGAAGAGAGAACTGATCATCCTGATTGTCAAAATATTGGACTACAGTCATCTTAGCATATGGAGATACATAATGATTTCCAATTGGCAAGAGGGTCAGGGAAGGCTACATTTCTACCCTATCTCCTTAACTCATATGAACATGTCAAAAGGTGAACATGTCATACGTAAATAAAAATTAGACTCTAAGGAAACAGGTGTGAAAAGAGTTCTAGAGCATATCAAACCTTGGAAGCCAAGGTGACTGAACTGAACTGGTATACTTTGGGCATATCATGAGAAGACACGACTCACTAGAAAAGACAAAAATGCTTAGGAAGATAGAAAGAAGAAGAGAAAGACCACATTATAGGTTCAGGACCACAATGCATAAAAGCCCTAGCAGACAGCCAATACACAGCAATAATAGGAAATGCAATCTAAAAGATCCAGAAGGTGTTAGGTTGAACTATTAGTTCAAACTGATCCTATTTTTGCCATAATGCTCTTAATTATTAACTGATTAATTTTTTGAATAACAAATCTATACCTGAGAACAATATAACTAAGAGATGAAAAACGTGGACATTTGGCAGCAATGGAAAACAGTATCTGTGCAAAACTTGAAAAATTGCATAGGACTGCTGAAACACAGAGCATCCTGAGAGCCAATTACAAAAGGCAGAAAGTGTCTGGTACCTGAGTCTTAGTTTTAGAACCAGTGTGGCACAGTGATTTGTATTTTGAACTAACACTCCAAAAGACAGGTTTGAATCTCCACTCAGTCATGAAAACTCACTTGGGCAAATCATGTTTTCTCAGCCAAAGAAAAATCAATAGCAAACTTCCTCTAAAGTTTGGTGGAAACTGAAAAATATGCAAAACATCTTTACAAAATGTTTATAGTAACTGTGATTCCAGCCTATGCTGAAATGCTAAAGCACAACTTTCCAAACTGTGTGTCAAGACACGTTTGTGCGCCAGCTGCTATGGTAGGTAGGTAACAAGAAACCTCCAGATCTATTGGAAATAAGCAATAAATCATGTGTGTGTGAAAGGTTTTCATCTGATAGATATGTTATAACCCTTTATATTTTGTTATTACAATTTATGTATGTGTCCATATCTCTTTTAATGGCTTGGTTTGCTAGTAAAACTGAATTACTGTGTCACAAAATGATGCATGTCTGAAAAAGTGTGTCACCAGTATGAAATGTTTGGAAAGGTCTGTCATAAGTTTTTCTTCAGAGGATGCTTACTATTGACTTTCTCTTTGGCTGAGAAGGTATGATTTGCCCAAGGTCATGCAATGGGCTTCATTGAATGAGTGGGGATTCAAACCTACCCTTTGGAGTGCTAGTCCAAAATGCAAACCACTATTGCCACACTATGACTCAGGAACCAGGTGCTTGCTGCCCTTTGTTGTTATATGCTTTCACAATGATTTCACATTATAGCAATCCTATCCTCAGGTTACAGTGGCAAAATAAGTTCAAGTAATGTTTGCCTTTGCCTTATCCAAGGTTGCTCAGTGAATTCCATGACTGAATGAGGATTCAAATCCATGTCTTCCATACCCATATATTAACTCAGTTCAGCCATCTTTGAGTCCCTTTATCGGGAGAAAGGCAAGATAAAAATAAAATAAATATTTTATGCGTTCTACTTCTTGTTACAAATAGTTGTACAAGTTACTACACTTTGAAGAATTCTAGTACCTTGACCACTTTATTGTATCAGATAAAACATTGAAGCTACAAAGAATTGAAGTGCGGGGGAGTAAGTGGGGATGGATCAAATACAACGTGCTGTGTTCTGAAATATTTTTAAGTTCTTTGCAAACATTACATTATAGGTATGCTTAGAAATTACTGTAAAAAGTTTACAAATTCAAGACATTTTAACAACATCTTAACCATTTTATTCATAACCCTAAAATAAAGTAGATTTAGAATCCATTGATCCAAGAAAATAGATCCTGGGACAAAAGAACAAGCAAAACATCTCAGAACCATCAGCATTAAAAATTAAATTCTACCTCATTACCTCATATCTTTAGCTAAGAAGTAAAAGAAACCTGTACACATAGATGAGCAGAATTATGTATTTCCAACTGCACAGGGTTTATTACAGAGATACTGACCAGGTAAAAATCCTGAGAGAAACACAACTGCATTGACCTGCATATACCGCCGTTTCTCAGCCTAAATCGGCGACTCAACGCGGTTTACAACACAACGACAAGCAGCAATATTCCATTAAAAAGCATAAAAACACATACACAATACACAATATTATTGGGCCACCAATAATAATCCAATGCATCTCTTAATTGTAGTCGCAATCCAATTTCGTCGTCTGTGATTAACCAATCCTTGTTCATCAGTTTCGTTGCACCAGATTAATCGAATGCTTGTTTAAACATCCATGTCTTCAACCTTTTTCGAAATACCATCAGCGAAGGGGCTGATCTCACCTCTATGGGGAGGGCATTCCAAAGCCGAGGGGCCACCACAGAAAAGGCCCTGTCTCTCGTTCCCGCCAGCCGCACCTGTGAAGCAGGCGGGATAGAGAGCAGGGCCTCCCCAGAAGATCTTAGGGTCCTGGTGGGCTGATAGGCTGAGATACGTTCGGCTAGATAAGTTGGGCCAGAACCGTTTAGGGCTTTAAAGGCCAGCCAGCACTTTGAATTGGGCCCGGTAGCAAATCGGCAGCCAGTGGAGCTGGTACAGCAGAGGAGTTGTATGCTCCCTGCGCCCCGCTCCTGTTAGTATCATGGCTGCCGCCTGTTGGACTAATTGGAGCTTCCGAGCCGTCTTCAAAGGCAACCCCACGTAGAGAGCGTTGCAGTAGTCAAGACGGGATGTAACC